TTTCAACAAAGTTTTTACTATAAATGAAAACACTGAGCAGAATCTTTTAACCAGCAATCAGCAGGTGTTCCTTTCACGATGCACAAAGTCGGAACAGCTATCAGCAATAAGGGCAAAGATGTCAACTCCAAGTAGCCAGAGAGGCACAACATAGGGTTTTGAATACATTAAACAAAAGGCAGATGTACAAAAGAGAACACGGAGGTTTCCAGGGTCAAAGTGGTGGCCGACCCCCATCACCACAGTAACCAACTGCTGGAACACTAAAGGTCCATTAAGAGCACGACAGAAGGTCATGTGTACGGCTGCTTCTGTCCAAGAACTGCTGCTCATTGTCTGACCTGACTGAACATTAATATAGACAGCCGTTCTGCCCAAAGCAACGTATGACGATGATCTAGAACGACAGGTGACGACTGAGAGCCTGTTCAGTGCTTCACTTCAAGTTTTTGCTGATGTATTTTTTTCGACATCTCATTGTGAAATAAATCCTTTTTTCTTCGGTCTGATACCTTTTTTAATTAATTTCATCTTGTAAACTTTCTCCATACATTTTTCCTTGTTGTGTTTTCGATCAGACAACTCTCAAAGAAAATATGAAACCCCAGTCAGCAGCTTTTAGATGTTCAGTCAAGACAAATTAAGATTGGAAGTAAATTTAACAGCATGTCTGAGAAAAAACTACATTTTTAAACATAATTTAAGCGAGTCCTTTATTATACAGTATGCAGAAAATAAACTATAAACATGGCAGTTTGGTGCAGTGGAGATTTTTCCCTTTACACAGATCCAGGCTAGCTCTGTTCAGACTTTATGCTAAGCTAAGCTAACTAGCTAGTTTCCATGGCTTCATTTTTACTGCTCAAATATGAGCAGTATCAATCTTCTCATCACGTCTCAGCAAGGCAGGAAACAAGAGCTTCTCCTAAAATGTCATTTTTTTCTCCTCTCAAATACTTTTAATGCTATTTAAGACTATATTGTATCCGACAGGAGGCTTTAGCTTTTAGAAGTGGACTTCTTGCAACTGTAAAAATACAAAGTCTTGCACTCTCCGCTCTGTTGAAGGAGTTTGTCTTGTGTTTATCTAAATTCTAGGGAGCTTTAATCAGTTCTAGACAACATGTAATATATATAATAACAGGAACAAAGCAGAGCTGAAATGATGAGGTTGGTTAAAAAGCTGCTCAGCTGACATAAAGTTAACTCCTGATGGGAGTCTTTGACAATTTCTGACGTGCTATGCAGAACAATTATTTCATTATTGAGAGAACATTGATTAATTAATTCCTTAATCGTAAAATAATCCATTGTTGCGGCCGTAGAACAAAACCCATAAGTAGGGCATGCTTTGCACTTTTGATGCAACTTTCTCTGAATCCAAAGCCTCACTCTGGCTCATCTCCATCTCCTCCCCCGAACCTGCTGTTCAACTGGTCAGACGAATCAGCGGAGTGTGCAGGAAGCTCGCTGCAGCAAAGCACCAAGAAACAGCTAATTAAACCGAAACAAAGGCAGAAATGAGCCACAATGTGTCTAAAAGGGAATTAATCAGTCACAGATGGCAGCAATCAGTTTCAGATGCAGGACGTGCGTTCGTGTGTGTGTGCTGGATAAATAAACTGAGCTCCTTTAAATGACTGTCACTTCGCCGCAGAAACAAACTCGGCCATTCATGCTGCATCCCCCTCCTCCAGCGCACAAACAAACATACAAATTGTGGATTTGCCTTGTGACTGGCAGCAGCGTAGAAACCATTTAACATTTAACATGTAGAAAAAGACAAGCTGAGCTGATTCACCTGTTGTCTCTGTCTGTGTGCTGAACAAACAAGAGGGCTGGTAATGTGCTGGCAGAGGGGAGGTGGAGAGAAAGGTGAGATTGATAAAAAAGGACACGGGCTAATGTGTTTCACTGGTCTCCTGGGTGACTCATGGTGGTTGTCATGGAGACTGATGGGAGGAAGCGAGAGGGGACAGGGGATAAAATTCAGCACCACAGTGAGCCATCCTCTGTGTCAGGAAACTGTAGAAGTGGAGGTTTAAGGGTCCAAACGGGAAACATGGGATTCATTTAACAACAGAAAAAATGACATGTTTTTTAAATGAATCCCAAAAACTTCAAATAACTCTTCTTCAATCACCTGAAATTGTTATTTCTCTGTGTCTACAGCTGCATTTAGGTCATCCCTGGACAGGCACGCTGACAGCGAAAAATTCTCACCATGCTCAGCATTACATAACCGCCGACTGTTTATAACACACTCAGAGCCATACTGTGCACACTGGTTCTTAGCACCTTCACACCATACTAACCATACATTACTGACATAGCCACATATAATTCTCTATTTTCTTTATTTTGTTTTGTATACATCCCTTCTTAGTATCATTCCCTATTGTATATTTTGTACATTCGTTAACAGTTTTGCTCCTGCTCACACCTTCTGCTTAAATGCTACGCTGTCTTTTGTTGCGCTGCACGCGTTGACGATGAAGCTAAATCTCACCTAATCTAATATAAACAACTCAAACTGCTCCCGGCGGGTTACCAGCTCTTTGTTGTAGAGCGGAGCAGGTTTTTATTGATTTAGCAGAATGACAGCAATGAATAAGTGGATATTTAAATGAAAGGTCATTAATGGCAAAGCATGAATCCTCA